AAGATCGATGTCTTGCCCAAATGCCAGAGATAGAGCTGCAAAGTTCTAGTCCTCTCTTCCTGCCTCCTGACTAGGGCCTCCAATCCCGGTACCTATTTTCAGTCCCGGGATTCGGGATTGCTTTTTTCTCAATCCCGGGATCCCGGGATTGAAAAACGTTTTCGTTTTTCTACGCCAAGAGGTATATCGTTTCGTTCTGTATATTTTTAATTTTTTATTTTATATAGTGCCAATGACGTGGCACTCACTTCGATGAAAACAACCTGAAAGCCATATATTTTGCGCCTGTTTATGAACTAAATCATTGCTTTTGGGTTACAGTTTGAAATTATCTGTCAATTACTATACACCCATCTGGAAAAAAATTACTGTTCTTGGAACTCTTTGACCACATCTCTTAATGCAGTGTTGGGCAGTTAATTTATTCAAAGTAATACATTACCTTGTAATTACGATTACTTTGTGTATGTCGTGTTTTTCTTTGTATCAACTTCGTCTTTAACTTTTCTCTTCGAAGTTTCGATTCCGTGGACCGTCTTCTGGTGTACGTGCAGCACTATCGTTGACCCACCGACGCATTTCAAAATCCTTTTGCACGCTAAACACTGTGCATTTTGGCCAGATCCGTCTCGTAGGTAATAGCATCAGATTCCTTCTGATTTAAAAAAGGAATAAACTTCGCCATCATAATCAAGAAGTGATATGCTTACCAAAAATGTCCGACGCGTTTTCTATTGAGAAATAACAAGGTCCGATAATATTGTTTTAGAGACTTTGTTTTATGTTTGTATAAGTTGAAAACTACTTTAGGCTGATGCTTGATAGTGACGAAGCATTCAATGAAATGACATTAAATAAATTTAATTTAAATAAAATGACAAAAAAAGCTAGCGAGGGTTTCACAAAATGAACAGCAGAGCAGTGCGTTCATGATGACCCATGCATACAGAGTACAGGATGGAGAGTATAAACATAGATAAAAAAATTATAAAAGAATTTGGAGCCCAGATATGAGGAAGTGGCGGGTCCATTTTACACGCAGGTCCGCCACAAAAATAAAGGGATGCCGCTACTATCTAAGAAGCTACTATTTGCATGTCAACAAAAACTGGGGCCCCCTCCATGTATACTGCTGCATACTCTCATTCTAGAGGCTGCCATTTTGGAAAGATCTTGCAGAATAACCCTTCGTTATTAGTGCATGAAAATAATTTCAAATCTCTCAGAAAAAAAGGCCCGAAATGCAGCTGTATAAACAAAACGTCAAAAGTGTGCTATCTCATCATCTGTTTGATTACCAAAATGCTAGATAAGAAAAATATATTTTTGCGCTGGTTTTCATGCACAAACCAGTAATACCGGGATTTTTCGAGCAGAATCCCGGGATTTCGGGATCATTATTTGGCTCCGGGATCCCGGGATTGGAGGCCCTACTCCTGACCTCCGTGGACCCAATCCGGCCTAACCTGCCTCTTTCCTAACGGAGATCCTGTCCCTAGCCTCTCCAACCTGGTCATAGTGGTTTGTATATATTCCGCTTTACGCGGCCATTGGGGCTCAAAAATCATTTTTTATATATAAAGATATTTTCTCATCTTGATTTGAATCTTTCTTTATTTTCGCGATAAAAACTGGAGAAATTCCAAGTCAGAAAGGCTTTTTCTTTATTATCCTAATGCATCGGCCTAAAAGGCTCTTTATCTTGAAAGGATCATCCAATTTGATCGTAATAAACGAATATCCATAAATCGTTTGGATTTTAATTCTTGAATTTCCGAAACATCGAACATACGAACGTTCTAGAATATTCCTTAAAACTTTATTTAATCTGGACTGGAGAAATTCCAAGTCAGAAAGGCTTTTTCTTTATTATCCTAATGCATCGGCCTAAAAGGCTCTTTATCTTGAAAGGATCATCCAATTTGATCGTAATAAACGAATATCCATAAATCGTTTGGATTTTAATTCTTGAATTTCCGAAACATCGAATATACGAACGTTCTAGAATATTCCTTAAAACTTTATTTAATCTACTTATATATTTGCCTTATTCTGTCTGTTTGTTTGTCTGTTTGTCTGAAGCTCACGGATAGAATGCGCGTCCATTGGCTGCCAGCAAACACGTGACCTCCCTGCCCGCCCCCCTCTAGACAACCCTGTTATCAGCTGTGTATTACATACACCTGTCTATAGCGGCCATTCTAGACAACCCTGTTATCAGCAGTGTGTTACATCCACCTGTCTATACAGACCACCCTGTCTATAGCGGTCACTTTAGGCAACCCTGTTATCAGCAGTGTGATACATACACCTGTCTATACAGACCACCCTGTCTATAGCGACCACTCTAGACAACCCTGTTATCAGCTGTGTGATACATCCACCTGTCTATACAGACCACCCTGTCTATAGCGACCACTCTAGACAACCCTGTTATCAGCTGTGTGATACATCCACCTGTCTATACAGACCACCTGTATATAGCGGCCATTCTAGAAAACCCTGTTATCAGCTGTGTGATACATACACCTGCCTATAGCGGCCACTCTAGACAACCCTGTTATCAGCTGTGTGATACATCCACCTGTCTATACAGACCACCCTGTCTATAGCGGTCACTTTAGGCAACCCTGTTATCATCAGTGTGTTGCATTCACCTGTCTATACAGACCACCCTGTCTATAGCGACCACCCTAGACAACCCTGTTATCAGCTGTGTGATACATCCACCTGTCTATACAGACCACCCTGTCTATAGCGGTCACTTTAGGCAACCCTGTTATCAGCAGTGTGATACATACACCTGTCTATACAGACCACCCTGTCTATAGCGACCACTCTACAGCTGTGTGATACATCCACCTGTCTATACAGACCACCCTGTCTATAGCGGCCACTCTAGGCAACCCTAGAAAGCAAGATGTATACAAGGTGTAGACAAGATGAAGATCTAGATGAAGATTAAAACGTTTTTAAAATATATTCGCACTCGGGTAAAACTCGGGCGTTGCCCGGGCAATTCGTCTAGTCTTATATAAAAGGGCGTACCTGGTTCTGTAAATAAAAAAAAAAATTTTTCTCAAAATATTTCGAGAGATTGCTCCCTCTTTATCAATTTACTAGCCGAATGACCCTGCCAACGCCCGGGTTTTACCCGATTAAATGCTTTTATTCAAATACTATTCGGTACAATTATAAATTGGCGCCGTGGATGTCATTCTTGTGAAACGTCCCGCTCCAAACTTTGTGTCTGAGAAGCGATATTTTTATAAAGAGATGATCTGGCTTTGTGTCTTCTGCTCGAATGAATGTTTTTCTGTTAGAATTTTGTTCCTGCATACTAAAATGAACTGGCTTCACCCGTGGTTTCTGCTTTTTGGCATTTTTCCGGATGTAATTTTGTATCTGATAATCAAATATGATACAGCAATATCATTTTCAGAATAAAAAACAACTATTTTTTTTCCCAGAACCTGTAAATTTATTTTTCTTGACTAAAAATCCGAAAAATATCTCTTCCATATTTTTCTCTATGTCCTGTTAAAACACGTTTTATATGTCCATTAGGTCAGCTGATATTACCTCCCATCTTCACCGCTAGAGGCGCTGCATGCAAGCGAAAGGGCATATTTGCAACGCAATTTGCAAATAACTTGTATACATACTTGTATACTCGTGTACATATACCATAAATCTGTACATAGACAGGAAAAGCACATATATTTTAATAATATAAATGAGTTTTAAAAATTGTAAAAAAAAAAAATGCATCGGCCGGGAATCGAACCCAGGGCGCCCGCGTGGCAGGCGAGCATTCTACCAATGAACCAAAAGCAAACGGTGAAAGAATTGTTGATGACTCTGATACTTGTATATTAATTGCACAGTAATTTTTATTCACAAATTCTTGTAGATCATTTATTTAATCTGTAAATTGTTTTTCTTGAATAAAAGCAATACTTTACAATTTGATATCATTCAGCTAAATTTTCATATCAACCCTTTGTACATATATCAATTGTAATACAATATAATTCGGTTTATGATTGTAGAACGACATTTGTAAATTATCCCGTATGTGTTTCTTTTAAACGAAAAATCGAAAATTAATTAAAGAGAAATAACGATTATTTATAACCTTTTTATTTTATTTAACAGTTGGGAGAGACACGCCATATCCACAATTTGGATAATTGCGTGTATATTTTAAATTATATACAATTAATACAATTTAACATTGGGAGTCATGAAAATTAAAAGTTCGATATCAAATTTTGCATATAGTAATTATAAATAGTAGCTTGAAATATGTAGAGTCTATACTTTCGCCTCAAAATATATATCCTGCAGAATCTATTAAACTTTATGTATTGGTCTTTATTGCAAGCAGCTTGTTTTGTATTAGTCAGGTAAAGTTGGTTTTCTTCCCTTAGATCAGAAGTTAAAGGACAGTCTATCAGAAGATGTTCATGGGTTTGTTGTTCGTTTCCACAAGTGCATGCAGGTGAATCAATTTTGCCAATTCTAAACAAATACGTGTTAAAGTCACCATGTCCACGAAAAAAATTGAACGTTATAAAAGTTGGGTTGAACATAGTTAGGAATTATTGATGTATCAAAGAATCCCTTGAAATTATCATTGGCACCCTCATAGTATTCCTCAAATTTCTGGTTTATAAAATTAGATATAATTTTTCTTTTAGTTGGATCTGATTTTTTGTATCCAATATTTATTTTTAGTATATTTGTTTCAATAAAATCCGTGAGCTTTGGTGTTCTAGCAACAATATGAGTACAGTTTGAAGATGTTGAATTATAAACCTGTGTACTGCATTTTGTACTGCAGAGAGTTTAATTTATCTTTAACTTTTTTGGGTATAAAGTTGTACCAGATCGTGGAACCATAAGTTAGTGAACTTCGAAACAGTGTCTTATAACCCTAGGGATGAAGTATGAAAGGATGAATTGTGAAGAGTAATGATAAACGGAAAAATAAAAGTGACCTGGGATGGGAATCGAACCCACAGTGTTCCGCTTACCAGGCAGATGCTAAGTCCACTAGGCTACCCTGGACACTTTTATTTTTCCGTTTAAAAATATTATAAGGCTAGAATTACGATTATAATGTCGTTCTATATATCAAGTATGTTGATTTTTTTTCTCTTTTTCATCTAACTAACTTGCATACTAATTCTATACATATTTTAAATATCTTTTCTTTCTTTTCTCTCAAAATTTTGTTTATATTTACTGAACAATTGATTCAGCAGGACTTAGCAAAAATTGATCATACAAGATTAGATTCTAATTATAAATCATTATATAAGTATTCAATACCTGAAAAATTTTAATCCTGGAACCTATCATTAGACATAAAAGGTTACATTACCCAAACTAGAATCACTTCGACTTTACCAAGAGAAAGTCACATTCAAATAATTAAAAAGGAAGATGTAATTTGTAAATTCTACAAAACTGAAAGCATAGAAGAAATGACCCACTACATCTCTGAATGCACTATTGTTAACGAGGAACGGAATAAGATCTTAAAGAACCCAAGTCTACGTGAAGCCAGTTCAGCTAATCAGAATAATGTCCGAGAAAAAATATATGGTGATAGAATTGTTTAACTTTCATAAAACGTTAGCGAACAAGGTAATCTCTAAGAACTAAAATTACTAAAATTAATTTTTATAGTTATGTTGAATACTTTGATTTCCTTTTCATTTTCTTTTGTTTATGTTTCTTTTTTTCCTTTTCACTGTGGCGACCACACTTTGCTTCAGCGAGCGCGGACAAAGCTTCAATACACATACTACGGGCAATAGTGTGGCGGCCTCACTACGCCTCGGCAAGCGCGAGCTGGGAGAACACGTCACTACGCATGCGCGGGCGTCATCAGGGAGTTATCTGGCCACGCGCGCATCGTCAACGACAAGGCTAGCTCCCAACGGACGTTACTTCTTTTCTCTTTATATATTTCTGGGCTTTAAATAAATTAATTTAAATTATAATTTTATCAGCGGCCTTTCCAAAAGCCACACCAACACGCACGCAACCATCCCACATCACCATGAAAATTATGTATGGCGAATCCTTACAGGACAGAAATGTCCTAATAAAGCTGTTGTTGTTGTTTATCTTTAAAGTACAAGTGTCCCTAGAGGGACATAGCGCTTTAAGTCGAAATAAAGAATAAGGAACAAATGAACATCTAGCTTTCAAATCAACTCACCTTGATGACATAGATTTTGCAAGAATCCCGAAACAAGGCCAGGGCAAGAAGAAGAAGTGAACTATCCATTTGGGTCAACGAGCCATGCTTGGTACCATTGTTGATTGATTTAGATAAACCTTTTGGCCCAAAAAGTGATTACATTAATTTGTTCCAAAACAGAATTCACCCTGAACTTGATCTAAAAATGACCCTTTACTATATCCTTATCCTATATTCAGCTGGCCTGGCTGATAGTACCCTGTAAGGTCTCCAGGGATACAGGATGAGCAGCGTTTGTACTCCAAGTTAGGAGCGGCTGCACATGGCATCTGTTCCTCATGTCAGAGGCAGCCATTTCTTTTGGAGCTAAGTCGGCCTGCCACTGAATAGTGCTCCCATTCTTAATGACAAAGGCAGACGCCTTCTACTTCACCCAGTCATGATGGTTGTCAAACACCATCAACAAGCTTTACAAACTTGATACCCTTATATGATTGAGTGGAGATAAGAAAGAAAAAAAGGGAAGAATATATCCTTACTACCAAAGATTTATTTTCAACAACCTCTTCAAGAAAAATCTTGATTCTTTTTCAATATAGTCATTTTTGAAGAATACTTGATTTTATATTTATTCAGCGATACTCCTATAGACTCTACAAGGCCTAAAATATTGATTTAAAAAAATATTTATATAAGAAATTTATTCATGGATGCCTTTTCTAAAAGATATGAATCAACAACAATTGACTTTATTGGGCACACGTGCCATACAAGATTCTCCCGGTAGGACAAAAAAAAATTAGCATCATAGTTATATACAAATATTGGGTATTGACCTCGACCAATTATCGAGTTGGATCCAAAAGATATGAATCTTATGAATATAAAATATATATATGTTATATTAAAATATTGTTTTATTTAAAATTATATTTCATAGATAAAATATTCTGTTAAATCGACCGCCAGAGGTCACTCTTCCCATTTAAAACTCGTTGTTGTTCTTCCCCGTTGGCCGACCCAAAACTTTGTAATTATGTAAATAATATTTTGTTTTAATTATTCTTACGCCTTAAGCCAGGCATTACTTTTATCAAATTATGTTATTCATATAGCTCAAATAAAGAAATATATGATCCTCAATATTATTATTCTTTCAAGATTGTTCGACCATGACTGCACCACCATAGCATAATCATCAATATGATCCTAAATTACAAACAGAAAAATCATATATATATTTTTTAATATAATATATATATATTATATATAAAGATAATATATAATAAAAAGGCATATATTGGATTTAATGATAGATTTATTTTGCCAATATTTCGGTTGGCTGAACGCCAAACCTTTATACGAAATGTAATGCCTTGATAAAGGTTGGCGTTCTGCCAACAGAAATATTGGCAAAATAAATCTATTATTAAATTAATATATATGCTTTTTTTTCTAATGAATTAAATATGGATTGCTCTATTTTCAAAACAATATAAAGATATGTGAAAAAATAATAGAAAAAATAAATAAATAAAAGGTCAGGTGTTGATATTAAAAATGAAGGCATACCCTGATCAGTAGCACATGTGCTTTTTAGAAGGCAGAGCGCCATCTGGTGGAACAGAAATCAACTAAACATTGATTTAACCTGTTCCCTGATATTTGGCCAACCCAATTTCTTGATATAAATATCAGGGAACAGGTTGAATCAATATTTAGTTGATTTCTGTTCCACCAGATGGCGCTCTGCCTTCTGAAAAGCACATGTGCTAGTGGTCAGGATATGCTTTTTTGTTGTATATTGTTACATCAATTTTAATGCGCCTTACATTTATTCAAAATATTCTATGATATTTAATATTTATTTAAAACAGAATATTTAGATTAGCAGCATTCCTTTTTATAGTTTCACTCCTTTTGTAATATTTATTGTACATATATCTTTATTGCTTATTGGAGCGCGAGAGGACCTAGACGAAGACTGCGGATCGCAACCTACGAGGAAGACAAGATTAAATAAACACAATAACTTTAAAAGGTAATTTATTTTTATTTAATTTTATTTATTCACTTTTAATATGGAAACCCGCTCGGGAAGCGTGTATAACACCAAGAAGGAAGAAACCAAGGTCGACGACCCTGCAAAGCTTCAACTTGGTGCAACAATTGGTAGAGATGCTGGTTTCGAACCAGTTGCTTTGAACCCCAATATAGAAATTCCGAAATATGGTGGGACAGAAGACCCTCGCCCATGGATAGAATCCCTCGAAGAGATTGGTTTCCTCTATCATTGGGCAGACTACATAATTGTTTGTTATGCCGCCATGAACATGACGGGAAGTGCTAAAACCTGGTTGAATTTACACAAAGCTAGTTTCACGAGCTGGGAAAATATTAAAATCCGCCTCATTCAGGATTTTTCTTTGGACGCGAATAAAGAAGAACTTAGAATGAAGCTCAATAGAATGCAACACTGGAATGAACCAGCAATCAGGTTCGCGGACGACATTCTAGTGTTGTGCAACAAGGTTGACCCCGCAATGGAAGAAGAAACAAAAATTGAACATGTTATTGGAGGACTGAAAAAAGAGTACTCATTCGCGCTCTACCTGAACGCTCCTAAAACGACCGATGACCTTCTTGTCGTGTGCAAGAAAATGGATTCTTTTGAAAAGAAGTATCGGGAACGTGTGGAGAAATCCAGAAACCTATATAACGGTCCACGCTATTCTAGACCCCAACAACATTCGAGGTACGTGCCGCCGACTGCCGCACGAAACTACCAGACCACTTCCAGGCCCCAAGCCCCTGTTTCCAATAATTACAAGAACGACTCCCCTCCTACTCCCAGACAGTATCGAAACAACTTTCCCCAGCCCTCTACCCCTAGACGTCCTTATAATCCTAACTTTGTGCCGAAACCAAACCTTCAGAGAAAAATCTACAATAAAAGCCAAGAAGTGAGCAAAAATAGGACGGAAGATGGAAGACCAATCTGCTTTAAGTGTAACAAGCCAGGGCACGTGGCCCGTTATTGTAGGGTCAAGTTTATAAGAATCCTAGAAGAGGATCCAACAGATACCCAAGAGAAGGTCGAAGAGAAATGCCAAATGAATGAAATATCAGAGAAATCAGGACCTCGGCTTTATGCTGATGTATGTCATAGAACACAGACAAATATTCCTACCCGGAATAGATATTCCGTGTTGGAAGATTTAAACTAAGCGTCGCGCCTGAATCTGTCAGTCAAAGCAAGTCGACCATAAACGGAATCAAGAAGTTGGACCCTAAATACAAATTAAAAATTAATGTGGACAAGTAGGGACTTTTGAAGCTTTGGTTAATACAGGTGCTGACCTCTCAGTGGTCGACCTCAGAACGGCCCTCGATACAGGCCATGGTATAAGTAAACTCGCAAAAATTTGCGCAGTACCCGATGGAAAAAAATTGGACATGGTAGGAAGTATATTTTTAAATATAAAAATTGATGACGAAACATTATCACACTACTTTGTGATATTGAAAACGCATTTACGGACATTAATTCTTAGGAGAGATTTCCTTAAGAAAATGAACGCGAAAATAGATTGTAAGCAAGAAACTATAAAATACGATTTGACGAATAATCATGACGAATAATCATGACAACATTTTGAAATGTTGAAAATAAAGAGTGCCAAGGATTCCATTGTACCGGAATGTTCCATTAAATTGATCAAGGCATTGGTAGAAACAGAGGATGGGGAATATATTATCGAGGAAAGCAGCAAAATGTTTCAAACAAATGGACTTCGTCTAGCAAGAAGCTTGATCAATGTTATAAATAGGGAAACACATATCTGGATAACTATTC